TGCAATACAGTTACGTATATTGTCCATTTTTCGATACACCGAGGTATGTAAGTACCAGGGGCGGACTGACCATTTGGAAACTCGGGGACTGCCCGAGGGCCTGGGGTCAGTAGGGGGCCCCATGAGATGCACCTGGTACCTTTTTCATAGGCTTTTTTGAGTTTGGGCAAGGATACAGGGGCCCCATGATCCCCTATTGCCCGGGGGCCCCATGAGTTGTCAGTCCACCCCTGTTAAGTACCCATTCGCACATACAAGTGGGGCCATTACTGGTTACATGCGAGAGACCCTGAAGGGGTTCCCGATCATTAACTGCAGGTGGCAGTTCCATTGAAAGCATTGGAAGACTGCATCCAGAGCCGTGGTAGCTGTGAGGGCTGTCAGCTTCCACTTACTTTTGCTGGGAACCCCCTGCCGGGTCTTGCATGTGTAATCAGTAACAGCCCCATTTGGAAGTGTAAATGTGGCCTTATAGGGCCAGGCCTGCTGATAGCAATGGTGGCACCTGAACTTGTATTATTGGTAATAATGCATGTCATAAATCCTTCTCATTGCCTTTAAGTGTTTATGTATACTGAGCCATGCCTGCACAGCTCAGCATTGTTGTGATGATGTGACTCCCATGCACCAACCAAGCAGCCAAAGATTCGGACCCCAGAAGGAAGACCGGGAGAAGATGATTGCGCCTGCTAAAATGGCAGCTCTGACAGCTCAGCACCGTAGGGGATCACTAGCCAGGTAAGTACTTGTAGAATCAACAGTAGCTATACCTCTTTCCTTGTATCTCCATCTCCTAACAAGTGCACACCCAGAAACATATCCCCACTCAGCTGTTCTGCTTGTCAAGTAGAAACGAACGGGCATACTGATACCATTACCCATATAATACTAGCTTTAATATATTAAGTAGAGGATTCATAACATAAAGTCCACCTCCTGCCCCAACGCGTTTCGCCCTGCAAAAGGCTTAATATTTAGACTGACACACACACGGCTAAAAGCTCCTGTGGCACAACTGAAAATGTTTAATGCTGCTTTAAAGTAGTTGTAAACCTCATACATGAAATATGAAGAAAGCATATCCCTCTATAGTGTGTGCTTGTCTCAGTCCAGAGCGCTGTCATTTCTATCTGCTGCCTCATTTTTTCTGGTATCAGCACGAGTCACTTTTGTTTCTGGCCCCGTACTCCGGGTACAAACAACAACTAACATATACATATGTGGTATCACTATGATTGTCAGGAGCAGGAGAATTTATTTTGGGTTGTTCTTTAGTGGTAGGTTATGGTAGTAGCAAGAAATATACAGCTACGTTTAAAACAAATATTTTTAAAACTATTTTGGGCCAGTTTTTCTTTGATAAAAAATACAAATCAGGAGAGATCCATTACTATTCACCACCAAATGAAAGCCCAATTTGTTCTGAAAAAAAAATGTGGTATAATCCACCTGGATGTACAAAGTAGTTGTAATGATATATATGATTTCACTAATACATGTCAAAGTTGCAAAATTGTGCTTAGGCATTAAAGTGTTATTAAACCCACAACAGTACAATCAGTCTGTATATACAGTAAAACATGCTTGTTATACTCACTGTGGCACCTAAGGGGTTAATACTCTGCATTGCGTAAAAAGGCCATTTGATTGTGACTTCTCTGTTTCTCCCCTTTTTCAGGTGTCCACCTCTTATCTCCTGATAAGAAAGACTGAACCGTACTCATTTTTCACATGCTCAGTTTGGTGTGTATTGCTAGAGAGGTTTTTTTTTCTTGGGAGAGTACAAGTGAGCAGCATAGGGCCAATTAGCACTGGTCAGACAGAGGTCAAGGGTTCTGCATCCTCCTAGAGAAGAAAGAAAACTCCTCTTACAAGCTTTAGCTAGTGCTCTACTGGACACTAATAGAAGTCACAAGACTGCTTATATATTGCTGATGAGAAAAGGTATTTAGCAGTTTATGTTTACTAAAATAATTGCATTTCCATGTTCTGTGTACTGTGGGAGACCAGATATAGTGAATGCAGGGTCCGGGGAGAGCGGATATAGTGAATGTGGGGTCCGGGGGGAGTGCGGATATAGTGAATGCGGGGTCCGGGGGGAGTGCAGATATAGTGAATGCGGGTCCGGGGAGAGCGGATATAGTGAATGGGGGGTCCAGGGAGAGCGGATATAGTGAATGTGGGGTCCGGGGAGAGCGGATATAGTGAATGTGGGGTGCGGGGTCCGGGGAGAGCGGATATAGTGGATGTGGGGTCCGGGGAGAGCGGATATAGTGAATGCAGGGTCCAGGGAGAGCGGATATAGTGAATGCGGGGTCCAGGGAGAGCGGATGTAGTGAATGCAGGGTCCAAGGAGAGCGGATATAGTGAATGCGGGGTCCGGGGAGAGCGGATATAGTGAATGCGGGGACCGGGGAGAGTGGATATAGTGAATGCAGGGTGCGGGGAGAGCAGATATAGTGAATGCGGGGTCTGGGGAGCGGATATTGTGGATGCAGGGTCCGGGGAGAGCGGATATAGTGAATGCAGAGTCCGGGGAGAGCGGATATAGTGAATGCAGGGTCCGGGGAGAGCAGATATAGTGAATGCGGGGTCCGGGGAGAGCGGATATAGTGAATGCGGGGTCTGGGGAGACCGGATATAGTGAATGGAGGGTCCGGGGAGAGCGGATATAGTGAATGCGGGGTCTGGGGAGACCGGATATAGTGAATGCAGGGTCCGGGGAGAGCGGATATAGTGAATGCGGGGTCTGGGGAGACCGGATATAGTGAATGCGGGGTCCGGGGAGAGCGGATATAGGGAATGCGGGGTCCGGGGAGAGCGGATATCGTGAATGCGGGGTCCGGGGAGAGCGGATATAGTGAATGCAGGGTCCGGGGACAACGGATATAGTGAATGCAGGGTCTGAGGAGACCGGATATAGTGAATGCAGGGTCCGGGGAGAGCGGATATATTGAATGCAGGGTCCGGGGAGAGCGGATATAGTGAATGCAAGGTCCGGGGAGAGCGGATATAGTGAATGCAGGGTCCAGGGAGAGCAGATATAGTGAATGCAGGGTCCAGGGAGAGCAGATATAGTGAATGCAATGGTCCAAGGGAGCGGAGTGGAACAGAGCGGATATAGTGAATGCGGGGGGAGAGTGGATTTAGTGAATGCGGGGTCCGGGGAGAGCAGATATAGTGAATCCGCGGGGTGAATGCGGGGGGGAGAGCGGATGTAGTGAATGCGGGGTCCGGGGAGAGTGGATGTAGTGAATGCGGGGTCCGGGGAGAGTGTGGATGTAGTGAATGCGGGGTCCGGGGAGAGCGGAAATAGTGGATGCGGGGCCCGGGGAAAGATATAGTGAATGGGGTCAGGGTCCGAGCAGATATAGTGAATGCGGATATTGTGGAATGGGGGTCAGGGTTTGGGGTTTCGTAACACTTTAATATTTGTTTTACCCTTAGGCACGAAGGAGTTAAGCCTCCACCAAAACATGACAACGTGAGAATAGAACTTTGATGGTTGGTGGTTATGTGAAAAAAGCTAAAATATTTTTCCAGTAATACAAATGGCCACCTGTTTCAATTATCAGTTTAGAATGAATTTGGCTTCATGGTGTCATTGACCTTCAGGACAGAGTTTGGTGAAAACTAAAATAAAAATTTCTTGACTCCATTCTTGATGCCATTTTTAAACATAAACAATGTGATTCAGAACAACGAAGTAACATCATTCAGATAAAGTATGTAAAAGGAGTAATCTACTAACCTGTGGTGATAGTGATCAGCGCAGCAAGCGCCCCCATTGCCGTAGGAGAATCTTTTTCCTCTTTGTAATCCCTGGAAATGAAATGTTTTTGGAAGATGGGACTGGAGTCTCTTCTCTTATATAGCCATACAATCCCGTTGTGAAGTGACAGATGGTTTGACACCAATATCCTCTCTTGTATGTTATTAAACCTCACACTCAGATCCAAACAATTTAACCCTTCCATTACACAGAATGTTTACTACTCCATGACTCATTGCTGGAAGTTCAGGAGTCGGAGAAAGGGAGACGTACATGCTATGATTTCATGTCACTCCACTATGACTGGAGCTTTACTCATCAATGGCCATCCCTACTTCTCTTCCTCTCATCTGTTGTCTATTAGCAGACCATAGACAACATTTCCAAAAATTTCCAAAATTTCCAATTAAACTATTTTAAAACTAATTTTTTTTTCCTAAACAATTTTTTTATTCAGTTCCTGTCCTTAACCTGCAATTCTTTTTAACAGATTAAAAAAAAGACTTGAAGTTTGAAAAATAAAATATTCTGTAGTTATGTTGTTATTTCTAAACATTTTTGCAAATGGTTTTTGCATCAACATGTTTATATTCCAATGGTTTTTATTAATTTTTAAACATTATAAAACAGAGGCAATAAAACTCGCCCACACAGGGGCTATCAATTGCACAGAAAAAAAAATGCAAAATAAAAGGAAACCAGTGCTCTAACGCCAACAGGGCAAAAGGTACGCCCCACGCAGGGGCTATCAATGGCACATAAGGTACAAAACATTAATGCAACTGACTCTAACAACTAAAGGCAGCTGTCCAATCACACCAAAAACAGAGAGAGAGAGAAAGGGGAAAAAAAAAAAAAGGGGGGGGGGGCAAAAAGCAGGGGTCCAAGAGCGCCAGTATCGAACGCCATTACATCCCCACGGCTAGCCGGGGGGAGTGTGGGAAAGGCATATTGCAACCACGGCTCCCATATTTTCAAAAATTTACGGTGGGAGTCGTTGCGGATACTCAACATCTGTTCGTTGAGCATCATAGTAGTCATACGATCCCGCACCCCCTGAAGAGGGACAAACGGACTCTTCCAGGCCTGGGCAATTGTTCTAGAGGCCGATAAAAACAAATAAGAAGCCAACTTCTGCTGGTGAGCCAAGAGGCCCGGTATGGGGCAATGAAGCAAGACATACCGGGCATCCCGGCATATGGAGAGATAGCACAAGGTGAAAAGGAGGCCAAACACACGAGACCAAAAACGAAACAGTCTCGGGCATGACCACCAGATGTGCAATACATCTCCGCGATGGCCACAACCCTGAAAACATTGATCACTACTGGCAGGGTTAGCCCGGGCCAACCGAGCCAGAACCCAATACCAACAAAACAATACCTTATAGGCTGCCTCCAGTGTGTTCGTATTAAATGAGCATTTAGCTATGAGTGACCAGGCCTTATTCCAGTCCCCTGGATCCACAGCCACTCCCAGGTCGCGCTCCCACTGAACGACATATGAAAGAGAAGTATGCGACGAGCGTCTGTTCAGAGCTGCATAAAGAAGGGAGCATTAACATGTTTAAAGCTGAAGTTTAATCTGCTTTTTTTTGCCTTCCCTGGTTACTTACTCCTCCTCCCTCCATCAACATGTAAATGGATTTTAAAAAAAGAAAATTTTTCATTGCATAACTTATATTAGACCCAATGATCTATGCTATTTGCTGGTCCACATGTGACCTAATTCCTTGTGTAAATTGTAGCCTTGTATTTCTGTATTTTATTGTCCTCAGGCAGAATAGACAGCTTACTTCTTGGATTGAACAAGTGAGGCAAATGACTGTGTATGTGTTCATCGCTATAGTACCAATTACTCTGTGATGTGATTGCTTCATTAAATACCTGGCTGTATGACAAGGATCCACGGTGTGCTGGGGACATCACTGTAGTCACTCCTACAAAGGACGGCAACCAGATGCTTTGCTATTAGTATCCTGTTTATTTTGAGTTGATCACTTCTTAGATACCAGAGGGCTGTATCGGTGGGGCACTAGACTCAGATCTTTAAATCCTCTCATCGAGTCTTCAGATGAGCATTGTGGTTTGGATTCAGCAGCCCTCCAAAAATCTTTTACTGGTATTGCAAGTGACAACAAGAAAACAAAAGGGCAACCGACACGTTTTTGGCCAAAAATTCCCCTTTATCAGGGCTTAAACAATATAGCAAACTATTTACTCAAAACAAAATCTCTCGAATGGAAATCTCTGGCAGGAGATAATATTCCTTCCTGGGTGATTGAACCAGCATCGGAAGTCAAGTGATCTTTGGTTGCTAATACAGTTGCAATCGCTGGAGAATATTATCTTCTGCCAGAGAGTCCAAAAGATACTTTTGCTTCATTGTCTAAGGCTACGTTCACACTAGCGTTGTGTGCAGGTGGCAGAAAGGCGTTTGGCAAACGTTTTTACCGCTTCCCAAACGCCTTGGACAATTCTGCACATTGCAGCACATAGTGCTGTTCAAACGGGAGCGTTAGCGCCGCGGCAAAACGGACGCCTCTGGTCGAGTCAGGAGGCCTCCTATTCTAGTCTATGGTGCCGCTCCACAAACGCCCGGCCGGGGTTTGAGGTGCTGTTGCGACGCAGTTGCGGGGTGTTTGTGGAGCGGTAACACCATTCAGACTTCATTATAGGCGACTTCATTATAGGCCTAGCAACTGCCGCTGAATCGCGCATGCGGCGTTTGTGGAGCATTTTCCGAGCGTTATAAAACGCTCCGCAAACGCCGGACTTACGGTTGCCAAACGCAAGAGTTGGTAAAACAGTCAAGTGTGAATGAGCCCTTAACCTCCTTAGCGGTGTTCCCGAGTGTAGCTCGGGGTAAAATTTCTATACCAAGAGCGGTAACCCCGAGCTACACTCGGGCTTACCATGCGGCGTTACTCTGGGGGTCCCTGCAGCACTTACCTTGTCCTTCGCTCCCGCGATCTGTCCCCTCCAGCATCCCCGACCATCTCCTCCTGCCGATGCCGGCATCCGGCTTCTGTGTTCCGGTCCCTGTAACGTCGGAACGTACGGCGGGAAATTAGAATTTTTTAAAAATGTCATTTTTGCTGTCAATGCTATTTCAATGCATTTCACATACATTTTGTCCCTACTGCTTTGTCAGGCGCCCTGCCTGCATTTTGAATGGCGTCCAAAAAGCGTCCCTTTAGGTCAAAAGCGGTTTTAGAACAGCGATAGTAAATCAGAACCACTTGCAGAATTGAGTGATAATGATTCGTGGGGGAAATTCGTCATCAGACACTGAAAACAATTTTGCGACTTTGCTCAGCGATGTGCGAATTTGCCTCTGTATTTCAAATTTCAGTGTTTTTGGTTTGATTATATTATTGAATTAAATTTATTATTATTATATTATTATTTTTTTGATTATTTATTAAATTATAATTTATGATTTCATGTTTCAAAATTTTATCATACCCGGGATGTTTACTAGACTCTTGTTCGGACAGATTTCAGTGAGTTATTCCTAAAAATTACAGACCTACAATAAATAACTGCATATTTCCATGCAAAATAATGGTACCGCTTTCAGCACAAAAAACGGAAAGAATCATACCGCCAGGGAGGTTAATCAGGGGTCTCCCTCAAGAGTTGGTTGTGGCCAGCTCAGTGGATTGCTGTAGGAAAGTCCTGGATCCTTTCTTGGATACACAGAATATAACTGGATATAACATTTATAGGTGACGTTGATCCAGGGAATATCTGATTGCCTCTCGGGGGATCAGGAAGGAATTTTTTTCCTGCAGGAGCAGATTGGATCGTGCTTTGCTGGGTGTTTTTCCTTCCTCTGGGTCCACTGTGGGTGTAGGATTATAACTTTTTTTTTTTAATGGTTGAACTGGATGGGTTTTTGTCTTTTTTTCAGCCAGACTAACTATTATTATTATTATATTAACAGTATTTATAAAGCGCCAATAGTTCGCTCAGCGCTGTACATTACAAAGGGGGACAGAACATGATGGTGATACATGAGGGGATCGAGGGCCCTGCTCTTTCGAGCTTACAA